GCCGCCGTTGTTGCCGCCGCCGCCGCCGCCGTTGCTCCGCGTGGGGCTGCCATGTTGCTGCTGCTGCTTCAGCTGGAACGGAACCGTCGCCCTCATGGGCTGCAGGCGACTCCCAGCTCCCCCGACTGTAGTGACTGCCCCGCTCCCGAGGGAGCCAGCCGGCGTGGGGGACCCATTGCGCCTCACCCGCTGGGACATGGTCCCCCCCTCCCCGGTGACTGGGAGAGACGGGGGTTTCTGTTGTTGTTGTGTTGCAAGGGAAGGATTCTTGAGGCCAAAGGGAAGACCCCGCGATGAGGTGACGAAGCCGGGATTCGGGGTGCTGGGGGGCGTCCGGGCCACGGCCAGCAGCAACGAGGTGGTGCCGCCGCCGCCGCCGCCGCTCCTCCTCATCAACAATAGTGTCTCCTCCGCTGTCCCCGCCCCCCGCGGCCGCCCATTGGCGTAGCGTCAGCCGCGCTCGAGCCGCTCCACCGCGCCCATTGGCTGCGGGCGGCTCAGGTCCCGGGCCCCCGGGCCTTAGAGAGCCTGGGTTTGCGCGGAGACCGTCTGCTCTTTAAAGAGAAAGAGACGCGCCCCCCCTTCGGGGAGAGGGGGAGGCGGAGGAAACAGGCTGTGTGGATGTGTAGCGTGCGCCTGAGTGTGCGTGTGTCTGTGTGTTCTGTGTACACGTGAGGACGTGTACGCGCGCGCCTGGCCACGCATGTCTTTCCCTTTCCACGAGGGGGAGCCCTGGGGACCCACACGCTGGGATGGTGCCGCAGGGAACGTCCAGAAGCAGGCGGTCCCCCAGGGATGAGCTGAATGAAGTCTTTCCCTCATGACTCGTTTCCTTACAACAGTATTAACTGGTAGGGTCAATGTACGTACATTTCTTTCTGGTTTTTCCTCTTGATCTTCTTATCCTGACAAAATTCCATTAATATATGGGCAAAGCGCAAAACCCTTAATCTTAAAGTGTTACACGAACACACAAACACCTCCCCCCCTTTTTTGACTGACTGATCCCTCCACAAAGAGCCAAATCTCAGATTAAAATGCTGGTTAAAATGCTTTTAGAGTTTATCTATGGAATTCAATTCCCAAATGTGTTTCTGTGCTCCTGTGTACTAGAACTGATGACTAATGCCTTACATGTTGAGCTGCTAATAAGAAAGTTCAGTGGTTCAAATCCACCAGCAGTGCGGGGGAGGGTGTGTGTGTGTGTGTGTGTGTGTGTGTTTTCTCTCATAGATTTACAGCTTCAGGAACTCTGTGCGAGGTTGTGATTAATGCAAACCTATTGATTTGATCTAGTTTGTCTACCAAGGAGCCCTAGCATTTTAGTGGTGAAAGCACTGATAATCAAGATCAGCAGTTTGAACCCACCCCCCAGCTGCTCTGCAGGAGAAAGGTGTGGCAGTTGGCCTCCATAAACATTTACAGCTTCAAAAACCCTATGAGGGCTCTGTGGAGGGAGGGAAGGGAAAAAAACTGCAACCAAACAACCGACCTATGAGGCCATTCTCCTTTGGTGACAGTGAGCTTGAATTTTGATATTTCATGTAGTCAAAAACTTATTTTAATCAACTAGCTTCACAGTTCTCTAACACTGTGGAAAGATGTCTGGTCTCCTTACAAGGTCATAAAATGCTGTCATTATCTTAGAGCGCTGTGGTGGCCTAGTGGTAAGGAACTGAGCTGTGAGTCCAAAGGCACATGGTTTGAATCCACTAGCTGTTGCTCGGGAGAAAAATAGGTAGTCTATTTCCGTGTGATTTACTGCTTCTGAAACCTGCTGGAGGGTCAACTATGGCTTAGTTCTAATTCAATGGTACATAACAACATAGTTAACAAAAAGCCTTATTTGATCTTCACAATCATTATCTGAGAACTGGGCCAGTCAACCACATTTTTCTCTAGTGGAGCAAACAGGTATGGGCAGGGATTCAGGAAGACAAGCAGCGACACAAGTTCTAAAATGGCCTAAAGGACATCTCATCAAGACTAAAAAAAAAAAAGTGGAACCACACCACCCACACCTCTTTCTGATTGCACATTGCCTGCCAATGTCCTTTTTTCCCTTTACTGCTTTAGTAGATTTACAGTCTAGACAGAGTTCATGCTGCAAAAATGTGGGTGTAGAGGACATACTATGATTTATTCTGGACCTAAAACTCTACTGGGTTCCTATGCATAAGTGGTGGAAAATCTTCAAAGTTCTAGAAAGGTAATTGAGATCACAGATCTATCTACTGGTAGGTCACTAGACAGCTTCCTTATCTATTAAAGCAATTAAGTATTTATCTCCGGGTAGGGAGCTCTGGTGGCCTAGTGAAAAGGAGTTGTGCCAGAAGCATATGGTTCGAGGCCACCAACTGCTCCCCAGGAGAGGGATGGACAGTCTCCTCCCATTCAGTTATAGCCTCTGAAAACCCACCAGAGGATCGGCTATGGGCCGGTAGTCTACAGTACTCTACATTACTCAGCACAACATCTCCTTCCTTGTAGGGAGCTCTGGTGGCCTACTGGTAAGAGGCTGCAATTCCAAAGGCCCTTGGTTCAAACCAACTGCTCCTCAGGAGAAAGATCAGCAGTATCCTCCTGGGTAATTAAGCTGCCTCTGAAAACCACTGGAGGGTCATTTATGGGTAAGTTCTAACTACAGCACACAACAACAACAACATTGTGTAAAAATATTACATATTATGTAATGTTGATGATTGCCTTTGAGTCGAGCATGACTCATAGCAACCCAATGAACAAAAGGCCTGAAGGCCCTCTACAACTATCAACATTTATCAAAGTTCATAGAGTTTCTGGAGGCATGTTGTTTAGGAAGTAGATAATAAATAAATTCTATTACATAATATGTAATATTTTTACACAACTCAATCCATGACGGTTAATAATCACAGCAGCTGTAAGAAGGAGATGTTGGACATGTTGCAAGGAGAAACCAGTCCTTGGAGAGGGACATCATGCTTGGGAGGGTGGAGGGACAGCGCAAGAGAGAAAGACTCTCGATGAGATGGATTGATTCAGAGACTGGGGTAGTGGGGGTAGGTGTGTCAGAGACAATAAGATTTGCACAGGATAGAGCAGGGTTTAGGGCCGTTGTACATAGGGTCGCTATGAGTCGCAGGCAACTCCTATGAGACAGCACATAACAACAACATATATAAAAAATTATATTTGTTGTTGTTGTTATGTGCCCTCGAGATGTTTCCGACTCATAGCAACCCTATGCACAACAGCCCTGAACCCTGCTCTATCCTGCGCCAACCGCACCGCCTCCGACACACCCATCCCGATTACCCCAGTCACCGAATCAATCCATCTCATAGAGGGTCTTCCCCTCCTGCGCTGTCCCTCCACCCTCCCAAGCATGATGTCCCTCTCCAAGGACCCGTCCCTCCTGGCAACATGTCCAAAGTATGTCAGACGAAGCCCCAGAATCCTTGCCTCCAAGGAGTAGCTTGGTTTAATCCTCTCCAAGATGAATCTGTTTGTTTTCCTGGCAGTCCATGGTACATTCAGTACTCTTCTCCAGCACCACAGCTCAAAGGCATCAACTCTCCTTCTGTCCTCCCTAGTCATTGTCCAACTCTCTGATGCATAACAAGCGATTGCAAATACCATGACCTGTATCAGGCGCACCTTAGTCTCCAGAGAGACACTGTTGCTCCTGAGTACCTTTGAGAGGTCCCTAACAGCAGACTTTCCCATCGCAATACGCTTTTTGATTTCCTGACTGCTGGTACCAAGAGTGTTGACTGTGGAGCCGAGCAAACTGAAGCTGTGAATACTCTCAATCTCTTTGTCATCCATCCTGATGCTGCTAATTGGTCCAGTGGCGAGAATCTTTGTCTTCTTGACATTGAGCCTTAGTCCATACTGAAGGCTGCAGTCCTTGACCCTTCACAGCAAGTGCATGAGGTATATATATTAATATATATAATTTTATGTATATAAAAGATATATGTAAACTATGCAATGATCCTCCATGATCTGATAAATCAAAGCTGCTAAAAGGATTAAGGGTAGAACCATCCCTTGATCCCATCACAGTCCTGATTAAAGGAATTTCCCTCTGTATGTAGCCTGTAGCATCTTTTATCTCACTAGATAGGGATCAACCTCAGAATGACCAGGAAATAATTGCCAGGAGTGAAGTGTGTCCCTTTGACCTTAGGTCTCTGTGAGGAAGCTCTTAGACACATGGAAATCTCCAAGGATTGTCAGATCTATAGATGCAGAAAGATTTAAAATCCTTTAGAACCAACAGAGAGAGATGACACCTTGATTGTAGACTCCTAATCTCCCAAACTGGAGGAAGTGTAACACAGGTGCTCCATAGAGGCATAGGAGGTAAAACTTTGTCTCATGTAATGTGGGCATGTTGTCAGGAGGGGCCAGTCCTTGGGGAAAGACATGAGACGAAATGTGGAGGGTCAGAAAAAAGAAGCAGCAATGGGACTGTAACAAAGAGGCAGCATAGCAGAGCTGGTGAGGATTGAGCATGACAGGGCAAGGTTCCAATCTGGTTCATAGGGTAGGTATAAGTTGTGACCAACTAAATGTCAGTTAACAACAACAAAACAGTTAAGAAAATATATTTCTGTTTATCAAAACCATCTACTTACATCTATGTTAAAAGCAGCACTATTGTTGTTGTGTACCTTAAAATTAAAGTTGGAACTGACCCATAGTGACCCTCTGGGAGTTTTCAGAGGCAATTAGTCACAAAGGAGGAGATTACCAATCTTTCTCCTGTGAGCAGCTGGTGGCTCAGGTGCCTTAGGGATTGCAGAGCAGCTTCTTGCCACTGGGCCATCAAAGCTGCCTGTAGCAGGACTAGATAACTAAGATATCAACCAAGGGTTAAATGAGAATGTAATGTAAAGAAGTCAGTTAATACTTCTAGAGCCTCTGGATGTGCTCCCCAAGTTGTACCAAAAAATCTGGAGAACAACCACCTGGCCAACTGACTGGAAGAGATCAGAATTGGTTCCCGTTCCAATTTCCGACAGAGTGCAGAAATTATCAAAACATATCATTGATATCACATGTTAGCAAAATTCAGCTGGAAATTATCCAAAAACGACTGGAACATCAACAGAGAACTGCCAGATGTGCAGGCTGGCTTTATAAGATGCTGTGGTACTAGGGATAGTATATCTAATGTTAGAAGACTCTTGGCTGAAAGCAGAGAATAC